GCAATGCCGAACGCTCCGGAACCCAAAAAGCCGAGGCAAGAGGATACCCGTAAGCCTCGACTGTTCCAAAAGTATGATTCCTACCATGAGTTAACGGTAGGAGTCGAGGAGGTCTTCAACCAGGTCGGCCGCGGGAACTTGCTACGCCGACCGGAAGTAATGAAGTCAGATCCCAGCCGAAAGAACCAGAAGAAATTCTGTAGGTTCCACGGCGATGTCGGCCACCACACTAACGATTGTGCCGACCTCAAGGACGAAATCGAAAGAGTGGTCCACGAGGGAAGGTTACAAGAATTCAGGGCCGAATGAAGACCTCGAAATGACGGCCATGGTGGGCAAAATGACGGTCGACGCCGAGAGGAGAACTAGCACCCAGAGGATCGCGAACCCGTCGGCGTCATACGGACTGTCCTCAGCGGTCCTTATATAGGAGGAGACTCAAGAAGGTCTTAGAAGGACTACGCCCACGAGGCCAGGGGAGTTTATCAGGAGCGATCCCCAAGGTATAGTCACACCGATGTAGCCTTTAACGAGGATGACGCCAGTGGGGTTCATTTCCCCCACAACGACGCCATGATAGGAAACCACACCGTGTGTAGAATCCTGGTGGACAATGGGAGCTCGGTGGACCTCCTATACTCCGACTGTCTGGAGAAAATGGGGATCTAAAAGGAACAATTGGAAAAAACCTCCAGGCCGCTATATGGTTTCACTGGGGACTCCGTCATCCCTCAAGGGACTATCCAGCTACCCATAACCGCCGGAGAGAAACCTCGACAGGCAACCACAATGGCCAATTTCGTGGTCATAAAAGGAGGCTCCCAGTATGATTGGAAGACCAACCCTTCAGGCGCTAAGGGCCATAACTTCCGTTTACCACCAAAAGGTCAAGTTCCCTACCCCAAATGGCGTGGGCGAAATGAAGAGCAACCAGTATGAAGCTAGGTTGCATACTCTGACGCCCTGTGCGGATATGACCAGCCAAGAAGACAGGAGGCAGTGATGGTTCACCAGAGCCTCATCGAGGACATACACCCCAGGATCCAAGAGGAAGTCACATGGTCTCAACCCATCGAGCAGTTGGTGGAGATCCAAGTGGATGAAGGCGAGTCCACCAAAGTGCTAAAAATGGGCTCGGGCTTAGCCCCATCACTTAAGATTGAGATCGAAAACTTCCTCAGGAAGAACTTAGATGTCTTCGCCTGGAATCATTCCGACATGGAAGGGATCGACACCGAAGTAATATGTCACTCCCTAAACGTCGACCCCTCATATCTGCCCAAGCGCCAGAATCGTTGACCGATGAACCCCGAGAGGTATGAAGCGCTGAAAGAAGAGGTCGACAAATTGATCAATAATGGGTTCATCAGGGAGGCCCATTACCCACGTTGAGTATCAACCCCCGTTCTAGTGATCAAGCCTAACGGGAATTGGAGGACATGCGTCGACTTCAGCGATCTCAACAAAGCATGCCCAAAGGATGGCTTTCCACTCCCTCGAATAGACCAGATGGTCGACGCCACAGCGGGACATGAGATGCTGAGCTTTATGGACGCCTACTCCGGATACAACCAGATCCCCATGCATCCAGCTGACGAGGAGCACACATCCTTCATAACTGACAGGGGCCTTTACTGCTACAAGGTGATGCCCTTCGGCCTAAAAAATGCAGGGGCTACCTACCTGAGGCTTGTGAATAAAATGTTCGCTCAACAGCTCGGCAA